TTTTAATAAGCTTATGTGATTGGAATCACTAAATTCAGATGAACTGCTGAAAACAGTCGTGCGACTGTGGATTTAGATTGATGAGTTATCATTTGAATTGATGCAAGTATATACTAGATTCTCTACACGTATCAGCATTTTTAAATAGTTCTTTATTAGTGGTGCATGTAATTGCAATCAGTAAATTTAGATGAACGGCTCAAAAGAGTCCGTGCGACATAAAATATAAGGAAAACTAATGAAAAAAATTTAAAAACTTTGAGTTTTAACGATAAGGACAAAATAAAAGGTAAAGTGAATAACATCAGAATTGACTTTTTAGTGTAAAAATATGATTTTTCGTTAAGGTGAACAGTACCAAAAGCTTTTCGTTACAACTTCCTAAAATATATGGTAATAATGCAGTATAGGTTATTGTGGTGAGCAAAAATTCTCCAACCCTTAGAACTTTACTTAGTATATGGATTTCAATAAAGGAAAACTAATGAAAATGTCATGAAAACTTTGAGTTTTAACGATAAAGACAAAATAAAGGGTAAAATGAATAGTATCAGTTTTGACTTTTTAGTGTAAAAATATGGGTTTTCATTAAAATGAATAGTTATGCGGGCTTTTCGTTAAAATTTCATTTCAGTAAAGAGAAATCAGACCAAAAATTAAAAGCAAAATGCAATTAAATAAGAGAAATTAGAGAAAACACAACGAGCAAATACCTATAGTCGTTTACAGAGTGTCATATAATTTCAGCATGAGAATCTGAATCCGAGGAATACCCCTTTGTAAATCAAAATCCGACTGATCTGAACTGCCCTGCAATTTCAAAGAAACAAAGGTAGCAGTAGCTCTTGTCAAAATCAAAATGCTCAATAACAACAGCTTCTGCCTTCAGAGATGGAGGAGGAATAAGAAGGAAGAAGAAGAAGCCGAGAATTCGTCAGCGCGGCAGAAGAACAAGCTCGAAGCCGAGAAGCTGTCGCTCTCCGCGAAAACAAAGTCGAGAAGAAGAAGAAGAAGCAGAAAAACAAGGACGAAGAAAAGTCACATGTATTAGTGCAATGTTACCTTGCACTAATAACAACAACAATAAAGCGTTATTTCTCTAAGTAGGTCGGCTGTATGAATCCTAAAACGTCATTGCTTTTGATTTTGTGCCAAATCTTCTATTAGCTCCAAATACTTCATGTCTTTTCTTATTCTCTTTCCAAGTCTTCCTAGATATTCTTTTACCCATTTTTCCTTGAGTCTCTGTTTCATATTCGTATCTTCTAACCGAAGCATATGTAGGTCTTCAGTTCATGTGTCTAAACCACCTAACTAATTTTCTCACATCTTATCTTCAATTGCGTTTATTCCTATTTTACCTAAGATATCCTCGTTCTTAATCTTGTCATTTCTCGTGTGCCCACACATCTAACGAAACATTCTCCACTTCGCTACACTCATTTGCATGTGTTGATACTTGACCTCCTCCTAACATTCTGTGCCATAAAGCTTTGTTGGCCTTATTGCCGTCCTGAAAAAATTCCCTCCGCTTTTAGTGGGACACGACGGTCACAAAAAACATACGATGCACTCTTCAACTTCATCCATCTAGTTTGTATTCTATGGTTGAGATCTCCATCTAATTCTCTGTTCTTTTGCAAGATAGATCCAAGATATCGAACGCGTTCGCTCTTTGGTACTTCATGTCATAATCTCCAATCCTTACCTTGATCTCATTTGAACCTATGTTCCCACATAACTTGTACTCTATATACTCCGTATTTGACCTACTTAGGCGAAGACCTTTAGATTCCAACACTTCTTGCCAAAGGTTAAGCTTTGCGTTTACGCATTCCTGAGTTTCATATACCAACATTATATCGTTTGTGAAAAGCATGCACCAAAAGACATCATCTTGAAATGTCCATTAACTCATCCATTACCAATGCAAAAAGATAAGAGCTTAAAGTTAAACTTTGCAATCATATGATTATGCAAAAACTTACGGTGCACTCATATTATAAAATGTGTCTATTTGTAAATATCAATCATATCCTTCAATATATTACAACACTTGAATTAGTAGCATCACTTAAAAAACACCATTTAGTATGTGATTTTATGGTTCTCATCTTTTGTTATTCCGAATGACGTAGTAGGGAACAAAAATTAAGGATGTGTGACGTTGAGGAAAGAAAATTAGGCAATGATTTCTTAAGAAATAGAAAGACCTTATAAGAAAAAGAGGAAATAACATTCGATATTTTGCCGACAAATATCTCAACATTGGAGCCCACTTCTAACTCCTAACAAATTTCAAATTTGGCTTCATTCATTTTTATTTCTTTAAAATCCTTAATAAAACATAAACGAATATAATATAAGAGAATTATTATTAGCATTTTAAAAATTTCGTTTGACATTCCAAATTTTCTATAATTAGAAAAAAAATACACCTGTGAGAAGTGTAGAATGAGATTTTTAAAATGTTAATAATAATTCCTTAATATATATATATATATATATATATATTATATATATATATAAAAGTTAGGATTGGAGGACACTCATTATTGGATCCGCATTTTGACATAATGTCATGAACTAACTGTGAACGAATTGTAATCTATTTCTTAATTATCTATTATATGAAAATCAATAAATTAAATAAGAAACGAAAGTTAAGAAACAAAAAGTATGACGATAGTAGAAGATCCAGATGATGAATAGGCAATTAATTCTGGCGGTGGAGTTCATGGTGGAGGCGGCAATGGGGTTTTCTGTGCCGGCCGTGAAAAAATAGGTGATTTTGGCTGTGGAGGTGGCGCTCGTTTCGTTGAAGGGAAGGTGGTGGTGGCTTGAGAGAGATCCGAGCTACATGAAAGGACGCCGTTTCAATCTGGGTAAATTCAAGGTTTACAAATTGAATGCAGATGAGAAGATAAATCAACGGTCAAGATTAACAGAGGGCACAAACAAAAAATGGAGTTGAAATCACTGGCCTTGTGTTAAGGAACAGATTTTTCAAGGAACCAGATCCTTCAAAACTGAACTCACTAATTAATAAATCCGGACCATTAAAATTTGATCAAACGGCTACAATTATTATAAATTTTAGAGGAACCCCATGTTTGTAACCGTTTGATCAAATTTCAATGGTCTGGATTTATTGATTAGTGGGCTCAGTTTAGAAGGATCCGGAAGGAATCCGGTTTCATTTTTCAATACGTTTGGAACACGAACGGATACACCATAACAAATGCTGTAATATAAGTGAATGAGCATTAAAAAAAATTAGTTAAAGATTGGAGTGACTGCTTAAAAATGAAGAATTGTACTCGCATATCCAATGGAAAGAATAAGTAAGAGGAAACGTATAATGTGGTTCACTCCATCTAGTATCTACACATAATTATTTCTTTTTTAAGAACTAGACTTCATGCATGCGCTTACGCGCATGCAGAAGATATTTTTTGAATCACGACGTGTTACACTCGATTTACATGTTTTAAATGTATTTATTAATGTAGATAGAAATGAATAATAAATACAGTTAATAAAAGCGGTATTTCAATTTCCATCTACATTTTATTGAATTTACATTAAGATTATAAAAAAATAATATTTAATATACAACTGATTGCTAGCTCATTGTGAGGTTAATCCCACTCCCTGCCCTTAGTGTACAATTAATTTAATCACATTATTATCCGCGTGCGAAATACTTTTTTTAATAAAGAAAATAATATTTAATAAACAACTAATTGAATCACATTATTACTAACCTATTGTAAAGTACTAATTAAAAACAAATAATATAAAAAAACTTTGCTAATTTATCACCGACACTACGCGTCTCTTAAAATATGTTTTGAACACAATATTCATGATTTTTCTTTTTTTTTATTATATTTTTCTTTTCCCGTGCCCATCAACTTTCACTCATCGTTTCATTTTTTTATTCTTTTCTATCTTTCCACTTATATTTATATTATATTTTATGATGATCAAATTACCAAATTACATTTGCATTATTTGATATATTATATTGGATTGCTTTTGGATTTTTTTGATTGAGGGGCAATTTTATCCTAATATGTTCCCTTTTTTTTATTATTTTATCTATTCATACTTATATTTATATTATATTTTATGATGACCAAATTACCAAATTACCTCTCTATTATTTAATATATTATATTGAGCTGAATTGTTTTTGTTAAAAGGCAATTTTGTCCTAATATTTTTGTCAAGTGCTTTGTCAAATCGTGACTCCAAAGTTCTTGCCACGTACGTGACCCAAAATTGGGGCTTTCACTTTGTATTATATAGATTATAGTCAAAGTTCATTGTTTTAGGTTACCTTATTATATAATTAATTATTTTATCTTCGAATAATTATAGTCAAAGTTCATTGTTTTAGCTTATCTTCATATTTCGTATTAAACAAGGTACATGCATCATGTATCTCCTAGTTCACGTATTACTGTAGCATCACGTACAATATCATCTATATATATATATTTTAACCCCACCCCACCCCACCCCACCCCCACCAAGTTTCGAACCTGGGACCTAATTCTGCCCCACTCCTCGCCCACACCCTCACCACTAGGCTATTCCTGGTGGCCTTATCATCTAGCTATAATTTAAATAAAAAAAAACAATAATTTTTTTTTTAAATGGAAAATAAATGATAAACACGATATTTTTAACCAACACACTCATGTTTAATTCTAGCCCTTTTTTTGTTTAATTTATTTAATTCGATTGTTAATGTTAATTAATGAGGACAAATTAGTATTCGAAAATTCTTGGATCAGAAAAAGATATAGAAGGGGAGATGTCACCATATTTCGAAGAAACTCTTAAATTTTGGCTAAAATTAATATAGTTCGTCAATATTTTCGACATATCAGTAAAATGTCGATAAATTGTCATATGACATTCTTCAAAATTTTCATTTTAAATTTTCACGTTGTTTAACAAATTCCAACATTTCCATCAAAAGCAACATATAACGATATCAATATATCCATCTATATTTTCACAAATTTATTTTCACAATATCAATATTTTAAACATTGAGCGGACCCATGTGGAGGTTGAAATTGTAAGTGTACAGATAAATACTCTACCGCCAAAGTAATATATACCAAACATTGAAATTTTAAATTTATACTACGTACAACCACATTTATCCTAATCAACTACTAAATTGTAACAGAGAGAGAAGCGAAAAAAAACCACTTCTCAATTACCGTCTACTTAAAATGGAAGCCCATTCGAAAATATCCCAAGTAATTTTAACCCTAAACGGACAAGCTAGGGCCTAGGAGATGCATCTCATGGAGTACGTCGACACAGGCGAATCAACCGCGGGTGCATCGTACACCCTCGGATGATCGCTCTCCAATCCATAGTCCATCATCGGACGGTGCTCCAAGTCCTCATCATGATCGTACACGAAATCAGGCACCTCAATCTCGTTCCTCCTCACGTGCTCCCACAGATAATCCAACCTGCTCACGTACCTCAGCTTCCCATACACCCTGCGCCGCACCACAAGTGCACGTTAGTACCATCCACAAGAAAATGCTAACATGCGCTTTTTCCGTTAAGAATAAATTAATTGATTAAATTAATTACCCGCCGGTGAAAAAGAAGCGTGATTAAATTAATTACCCGCCGGTGAAAAAGAAGCGGCCGAAGGTGGCGAGGAAGAGCCGGGCCTGGAGGCCGGGATGGAGGATATACACGGCTTCGAGATTCTGGCGGACGCCGATCGGTACGGCGTCGTAGATTGATCGGACGGCTGAGATCCCGGGAAAGTTCTCGCACCTTTGAGCTCCGGTGTGCACGTACAGCACCACGAACGGCTTTTTCTCGATCTCTGGAAATATCCTCTCCTCCAAATACTTCCGCAGAGCATCCACGCTCACAATTCGAGCTAAATAATTCAAAAATACAAAAAAAAATCAGAAAATAAATTAAATAAAGGAGAAACGTTGATTATGAAGAATAATTAACGATCTGTATGGGAATAATCTTTTGAATTGTTAAAAGCGCTTTAAAATTGGCAGAAAAACTTTACACGTCATAAAAGCGCTTTTTAGAAAGGACTTCCAGGATGCCTTGAAGTTTTGATTAAAAAAAAAAAAAGGTCAAAGTACCTTTAACAAAAACCATTTCTAGCACAAGCACTTTGAAACAGAAGTGCTTTTCACAAGAGCAACGTTAACCGAGGCCTAAAATACCTGGGAAGAATTTGCCGATGATGCGAAGGACGGTGCGGCCGCGTTTATCTCGTCCCTTGATCTTGAAGATGTCGAGCTTTTCGATGAGTTCCTGCTGCTCGGAATCGGAGATTTGAGTATGCATTTTTTCTTTCTTTCTTTTTCAATTATTTTCTTGTTGCCCGTTTGGTTGCCGAGAAAGTGTGGGGAGTTGTGAAAGAACTTTGAAATGGGAAGGGAGAGGGGGGTCGATGGCGTTTGATGAGAGATATTATGTAGGCGACGACAAGGGTAATTAATTATTTGGTAACTGGCTCAGGAAATCAGGGGGCGATTGGAATATTCGGAAGCATCTTCGATTATTGGAGGGACCAGGTGGGGCTCGGGGTGTCCGAGTCGGATAACGATTTGGGTGGCTGATTGCTGACTTGGCATTTTGTTGATTGATTTATAACATTGAGGATCCTCTTCGGATCTTTCAATCACGTCTGTTAATCATACCGCTTACAATTATTTTTCGTCAGATTCTATTCATATTTAATTTAAAATAAAAAAAATTACAATGATTTTTTACTGCATGATATATGATGAACTGACATTATTGGAGGATCCTCAGAATCCTCACAAGGAGAATCCTCTTTTGAATTAGAAAGTGGACAAAGATAGAAAGAAGCGAGAGGGGAGGAGATAAAGTCTTATGAAGGGTTGAACTAGTAAGAAGTGTTTTAGGCCATAGGCATGTGGTCAAGGCTTAATCTACTTGCTAATTAAAGAATAATGCTAATTAGGGTTGTAATTTGTCATGTGTCGAGGCTGGTATTTCCCGTTGATACATGTGAAGCTCATAAATAGTTAATTTGGGGCTAAACTTATAGGATGTGTGCGTAGATTTGTTCTAATCGTTGATACACGTGAAACCTATTATGCATTAATAGTCATGAAGCTTATTTGGCAATTTGGGTAGTGAGTGCTAGGGTCAATAAGACAAGTGTTAGGCTGATCATGGCCATTGATGTATGTGTGCTTAATGTGTATGAACAGTCAAGATCAGCTCACGCGTATGCATAACTGATCGTGACATTCTATAAGTAATTTTTTTAAGCGGATAGCTTTGGTAACACGATGCTATTGAGTATAAGTAATTTAGTTTTTTTTATTAAGCAGATAGCGTTGATAACACGAAGTTAGGAAGTATGAGTTAGGTAACTTCCAAAGCAAGCCGAGCATGATCTCATCCTATTCGCTCGTTGATTGATAGAAGTTAAAGTTAACTCAAAATATTGGGAAAGTCCATACCTAATCTCTTTGTCCGATTAGGTTTAGCTTTTAACCGGTAGTGATGTTTGGTTGTGATTTCATTGTTCATCTTAAAGTGGGCTTTAATTTCATGGCTCCTTTTCATTACCAAAGCCCACAACCATAACTTGACCCAAAAGAAAAGCCCACGGTAAAATTAGACGGCCTAATGATGTCATGCCTCATCTACTCCTAACCTTTTACTGTGATTCCGCCCTGTCACCTGGTGTATACACTCGGTGAAACACCAGATTTTCATGTTCTTCCGGCCAAGGGCGTTTTGGTAGCAAATAGAACAGAGGGAGACAGAAGATTTTGTGGACAAATATATTAGAAAAAAGTCTTGAATCTCGCAAGTTAGGAAAAAGTTTCCGACGTACAACTCTAACTAGCTTCTTTGGTCCACGGAATCATGATCAATACAGGCAACAACGTACAAGATATAACACCTCGAGGTGCCTAGTTTTCGTGATATATGATCGGGGTATGTAAATAGTACAAGTTTTCTATGATCTTTACGAGTGATGACATACCAAACAAACGCCGTGGCTTAATCTAGGGAGTCTGATTAAATTCCTTTAAATCAAACCCAGATTCCTGTGCAAGCTCCATCAACTCTTTTTCTCCACTCAATACCTGTAAGAAGCAACGAGCTTTCTCAGAACCAAGTTAATCGTAACAGATGGGATGAACTTACAGCTAGAGTTTCGTATTGATATTAAAACACGGTGTGCATGACAATATACAAACGAGGTGACCAAATGAAGATAGTGAATCATCCATGAGGAGATTTATCACCTGCCCGTTAATCACCCATGTAGGAAAACCTTCAATTTGGACATCAAAGCATTCCTTTTGCATTATAGTTCCCTTCCTAAATCCACCAGGGAAGCACTCAACATAGTTCAATAGTTTTGCTGCCTCACTTCCAAACATCTACATGATGCACAAAACAAACAGGATACATCAAAAGTCTGAACATACAATAGATGAACGCTTTGTTCTTTCAAAATGTTTTTCATGAAGTCTGAAATGATTGGCTGGGAGGAAGGTTTTTAATATCAATCTTTACGGAAATATCGACAGCTCATATATCGACGGATATTTCGAGAAGATATTTAATACATAAAACAAGATATTTTGTATTAAAATTAGGATGTATGTATATCATTATATAGCATATTTTGCAATTAAGCCTATCATACGTAAATATGAAACATTAGCTTGTATTCTTAGGCATGTGTTACTTTCTACGTTTCTAGTTTCTAGTTTCTTCCAACAAAATAAAAGTTTCCAGTTTCCATAGAATTTTATGCAATTAACTTAGTCGCTAGGCATCGTTTTAAGGTGAACTTGGGGCCAATTTCTATTGATAGACCATAGTTTTCTATTACTCGGGTGGGACAGCTAAAATATTGAAAACACTAGTTGGGAGTACAACTTAATGGATAACATTATTTGTTAGAAGAACTGAAAGGAAAACTTAGGAAAGATGATAGAGAGAAAAGCATCATGAGTGAATCAAATTTAATCAGGAATTGAAGATCTAAGTACCTGCTTTTGTTCGACACAATGTGAACACCAGAAAGCCCCATACATTTTAGCACCAATAGCACTCAGATGCTTTGCAAGAGCTATTGCAAACGGGCTTGATGGTGTTGTTATCTCAGTTGAAAAATATGGAAGATCAATTTCAGACGGGCTGTTAACAAAAGAAATGTAACAAGGAAAAAATTATCAGGGCAATAAGCACCCAAAACTGACAAAAAATTAACCAACTAGCACAAGCCACCAAATATTATATTTGTGAACTTTGAAATTTGTTAAATAATGACATGGTGAATCAGATCCAAACAAAATCATGGGACAGGTTTGGGATTTTAAGATAAAGGTAATGAGGTCAGTACACACAGAAAACTGATCTTATTTCCTTCTACGCAAATAGCCAAGTACCACACGATCAAAGAACGATCAATTCATATCAAAGGCCACTAAACTCCGGTCACAGATAATTGCTTGAGAATAAAAGTTATAAAAGTGATATAAAGCCACAGATACCTTCGTAATATATGGTCGTGAATGCTTAGAGCATCAAACCCAAACCTAAACAATGTTTATGAACATTAGATTTCCCTACATCTCCTTAACATAAAAATTTGAAAATAACTATAACACTTATGTTTATCAGTCTCCAATATTTCCCACGAATCACACTGCCATTCTTAAAATATTTACATTTCGATTTCCTCTATCAAATTAGTTGGAAGGGCATGTTCATAATCCTAGAAGATTGAGCTTCAGAGCAGAATATACGTCCATATCATTAAATAGCTTGCCAAATTAACATATCCATAAAACCGAAAAATATAAAGCCACGAGCAAGGTTTATCACCTTGAGGGTACAGGTGGAAGAGCACTATATGACCTGTTGAGAGTCACAACCACTAAGCTAGCTATACAAAACAGCAAACCCACTTCCTTCTGTACTTTTTCCAACCCAAAATCCTACAATTCAGAAAAATCAAAGACTACATCACTGCCATTAACAACATCAAATCAAAGAAAATAAAAAGAACAATATCCAAGAGCTCACCTTTAAGGCGGTGAAAAACAAGGTGAAAGAGAGCAGAGCAGATAACAAGCAATACGAGCAAGAAGCTCCCGAAAATTTGGTGCTAAGAATGTACAAAAAGCAAGCGCTAGCAGCTGCCATGGAAGTTGTAGTCCCGAGCAAAACTAAGCGAGCATTAGATTCATCAATTCCAAAAGGCAACTTCTTTGCGGTCAGTAGCTGCACACCCATAGTAGCAACTAACCCATAAGCAACCATTCCGAACAGCGGAAGAGGAACACCTGGGAAATCCAAAAGGGAACTTTTGTCAAACACCTTGCGTGCAATTCAATGCAAGACAATTCATTTCCAAATTCCAATCCACAAAAACCCAAATCCAAATTTTCACTTTTTCTTTTTTCGGGGTGATCAAACATTTGAATCGAGTCTGGTACGGAGTTAAAGAGAGTACCAAAAACGACAGCGTAATCGCTACTGAGGATGTCGCCGCAGCTTCCTTCGCCACCGCCGCCGGCGGTGGGGCAGAATGCATTGGAGTTTGTGAGCTTGAGGTAAGTCAAGTAAGTCGTCTCGAGAAACCCAACACCTCCGAGCCCTGCGTAGAGTTTGTAGGTCAAGTCACTCGAAGACGACGGGGCCAACGACGCCGTTTTGGGTTCGGAGTCGTCGGCGTTTTGATTTGGTTCGGTAGACGAGCATGTTATGGGAAGAAGCAGAGATCTCTGACCCCATTTCGGAGTTTTATGGAGGAAGGGGATTTGGAATCTTCCGTGGGTCGACGGAGACCGGCGCGACGACAAGAACGGCAGAGATGTTACGCTCGCGAACGCCAAGGTCGCCATTTCTGCTCTCACATTCCACCTGAAAAATCAACGGAGATTCGCGGGGATTAATCTGGGCTTGCTGGGCCCAAGTGACTGCTACTACTTCCTCAATTTTGGGCCTTGTGTTTATGAAACTAGTCCAACCCAAATTTCCTAACGGTCTTTTTTGGCGGGTGATCAATACGGTTGTGTTCGGATTTACCGTTTATGATTGTGTTGTGTTGTTTCAGTTTAGGGGATGATCTTGTTCAAAAATAAAATAAAATAAAATTAGGGGTTGATCAATATATAAAACGATATAGTAGTTTAAGCATAACTCATATTATTTATCAGAAATATGTGAAAACTTATATAATGTTATATGAGCCGTGTTTATCATGTGCATATTGTGTTTAGGTGTTATATTCGTACAAATATCGAGTTTGTAACATGTCGTGTTTAAAATGTAGTGTTGGCATCATATAAAAAGATTTCTCGAGATAATAAGAAATTGCTAACGTCGTTTATCCTATCCTACCACACAGGGGTTTACCATACAACTATATAAGTGGTGGTACATTTGTCTGTCTTTACGTTACTTATATATATTTATTATATTGAACAAATTAAATGAAAACAACAAAGATAATTAAACAAGTGTTATGATATTTGAAATGTGTACGTAAAGAATTACGGAATCATGACATGTATATTGCTGCACTGTGAACGGGTTCATTATCTTAGCATCCAAGAATGCATTTGTAAACACATTTTTCGTCTATCAACCTGCTCTTAATCACATATTTATATTCATCTTAGATGTTTATATAAAAATTTAAATATTTCAATAAATTTAAAATTTTTATAATGCATTAGTGTATGAGATATACCGTTGTAGTGAACAACTGAATTTACATCCTTGAATTTTGACGATTACAATCTAATCATTCAAGCATTAAGGCATATAATACATCGGTGTATTGTAAGGTTTTTCTAATAATAGAGATTGTAATTGGTTGGATAATATCAATGTCTCCAAAACACTGAAAAAATCTTGTCAGTCGCATCCACCACGGTGTACGTACATGCAGTAGACTCACATGCATCATACGTTGGCTTTCTTTTTTTTTTTTTTTATAAATTTTAACTCATCAGTATTAAGACAGACGTTGAAACAGTTGAAACTTATCCATGCAAAAGTATGTGTGCCACATTTTTTGGGTTTATCCGAAAAAAACCAGAACACCAAGACTCGGCGTGGCATCATCTCTCTGCCTTCTTCTGCTGACGCACACCCATCAAATTTTTATTCACATCCTCCCTCGGACCATCTTCTACTAAAACACTGCATTTGCAATCTGAAAATCTCAGATACCAAAACACCGGTCGAAAACGTAAGGAGTTAGAAATATGGTCGCGATTTCGTTTGTGTATTCTTCTTGCTTTACTGGCTCTGCTGCAATTCAACCCCCTTCGCTTTTTTCTGCCCAAAATCTCAACCACAGATCTTTATTTCCTCTGAATGGGAAGAGACTCGGCACTGGACTACAAAACAAGAACTTCAACTTCTGGTAAGTTAAAAAAAAAGTGAAAATTCTGTTTGTGCAAGTATAATAATTAATATTGTTAGGTATAGTGATTTTCAGGCTCTCGTTTTCTCCGTCTGCGTTGTCCTTTAAGTCCTTTGATTTTCTTTTTGATTTATTTCATCCAAAGCCAAGAAAAAAAGATGAACTAAAAACTGAGTGAAAGAGGAGAAAACAGGAGTGCGATATCTCAAGATTACTTTCAGATCGTTATTTATTATGTTTTTCACCAACTTGGGATCTTATTGTTTGGCAACTGGGAAAGTGTGAAAGCTGCTCAGGAGAGAAATTTGGAGGCTGTTGGAGTCCCAACTTCGGTGCCGGTTCGTGTGGCACATGAGCTTCTTCAAGCTGGACACAAATATTTGGATGTCAGGTAATCTAATTATTTTTTATTAAGTTAAGCACTTTGTTTACTTTTTGTTTAGCTGTTCTTGTTTTTGTGTAGGACTCCTGAGGAGTTCAGTGCAGGACATGCCCCTGGGGCTGTCAACATTCCCTACTTGTACAAAGTTGGATCAGGTTCACTTTTTGTTATTCCGATCCACATATTTTTCTTGACTATTTTTTTTTTAATTTGGATTATTTTAGTTAATTACCATTTTTATGTAATCCTGTTGTTCTTGTATGCAGGGATGTCAAAGAACCAAGAATTTCTAGAACAAGTGTCATCACATTTCAGAAAACATGATGAGATTATAGTTGTGAGTTCAAATTACTAAGTACATTTTTTGCTACCTTTTTCTTTTCCAATTATTTTCAGTAAATTTCTACCCCAGTTAAGTGTTTAATTTGATCTTTTGGCCCTTTAGGGATGCCAGCTTGGGAAAAGATCGATGATGGCTGCAACTGATCTTGTAGCTGCTGTAAGCACATTACCCCTTCACAGCCTTTCACTTTGTCCTTAAGTAATTACTTATGGTTGAAGAAGCTGAAAAATATGGATCACATTTGGGTTCAACGTCGTTATCAATTAGTTTTTAGAACTTGTATTGCATATACAATTCCGAAAAGAATTTAGTCGAAGCCAGAATGTGTCGTTTAATCGCGTATTTAATGACAAAAATCACTTAAATTATTGGCTAAAAAAGGATGCAATGCTTTGTTTTTTGGGATACTTCATTAGCATAGCCTTATAACAACCGTTAATGTTAGTGAGAAACACTCGAGAATCAAATTATAAATAAAAAATTAAAGTAAACCCTTACCTATCAGTTGCTAATGTCGGTCAAATAATAGGCTGGTGCAATAGTATCTCAAGAATAAAATTAGAAGATATATGCCCTTACCTATCAGTAATAATAGTGTGGCGCAATTGCAGCTCGATCCAACTGTTAATGTTACTGAGAAATAGCTCAAGAATAAAATTAGAAGAAGAAAAAAAGCCTTCCACAATCAATTATTAATGTCGGATAAACTAATAGTCGGGTGGAAGAATGGTTCGGTCTAGGGTTTTTTTGGAATTTTATTTTTTGGGGGTCCAGACTTGGTTGAATATCTCAATGGCTTTCCATCCTTGCAATCAAAGGATTAATAAAAGCTGACTGGAGCTTTGTTCTTTAATCTTAATTTTGCAGGGTTTCACTGGCATTACAGATATAGCTGGTGGGTATGCTGCTTGGACACAGACTGGACTTCCAACAGAGACATGAAATGGGATTCTTGGGGGAGAGAGAGAGAGAGAGAGAGAGAGACAGAGAGAGAGAGGTTTGGAATCAAGGTTATGGGAAGGGAAGAAATCACAAGAAAAGTGGCAGTAGAGCCCTGCAGAAACATGGAAACTTGGTTCCAAAGAATTTATGGTGAAAATGTGGCAACATAAAATGTCACAAGTAAAAGAAAATTACTAAATAAATTAGCTAGCTAGCTTTGTAAAGAAGTTATGGAAAGGAAATGCTCCACTTTAACAATTTTGTATGCTCTATGCTTGGAGTTTACAACCACAAACTTGGCATCCCATGTTAATAGTCCCTCACTATTGATACTCTGCTGAATTGAAATTATTTTGATTCTTGATTTTTGAAAGTGTTAACAAATATTTATGTAGTAAAATTTTTCCAATTCTTAGGTGTACATGTATATATAATAAAAATATATATATATACTGGTGTTTCGTTAAAATTTGTAATCTAATAATAAATCATGAATGATATGTTGGAGTTTATGTCTTCTTAGAAATCAAGGATACAGAGGTACGATCCTATTGTTGATCCCATTTTCATCCTCTTTTTACCTCATTAATTCATAATTTCTCTGTAATCAACTAAATAAACATGTCATAGATCTCGAACCATTCTAAAAAACTCGAAAAGTGGTATCGTTTTGTAGGGAAAAGTACTAAAACTCGAAAAAAGACATCGTTTCCAAACGAAAAGTGCACGTTGTTCTATGTTTTTAGTTTTGAGCCTTTTATTTTATGTATTTGAGACTTTGGTTCGTTTAGTTGGTTGAGACTTCACCGTAGAATGCTTCAAACAAACCCACACGGATCTGTTGGAAGAGAAATATTCATCCCTCCACGTTCTCAGTATCAGACAAGCAGAAAACAATTCTCTCTCCCTCTGAGAAAACATGGTGGCCACATCTCCTCCCCTTACGTCACGTTTTGAATCTGATTTTAAATGGAGAAATGCCCCAACAAAACTCTTATTCTTCTTACAACCAAACTGTACAAGATCATGGGAACTGCTCGCAAGTGGTTCAGAACAATCAGAAGAAAGTTAGTCAGATCATCCAACAGAGATATCATCGTCGTCTACACCAACACCACCCCAAGCACGCACGAAGAATCGGGCAGGTACGAAGAGCTCGAAGACATCACTTCATCATCTTCGTCGTTCGAAAAGAGAATTTTCACCAAGGAAGACATTGCAGCCATCAGGCTCCAAGCCTTTTTCAGGGGGCACCTTGTACATTACCCAAACTTGGTTCTTTTTTTCAATGTCAAGTTTTGCTTTCATAATAATTGTTGAATTTGCACAAAAACTGAAAACCCTTAAGTTTGTGATGATTTGAACAATTTGACAGGCCAGGCAAGCGTTTCGAGCACTGAGGAGCCTGGTGAAGCTGCAGGCGTTGGTTCGTGGAGCGTGCGCGCGGAAACAGGCACGTATAGCTCTGCATTGCATGGAATCAATGGTGCGGTTGCAGGTCAAGGTTCGCGCACGGCAGCTACTCAGCGTGTCTAGCGATGGCAGATCCATCGCAAGTTAACCGTTGTTTGCTGAATAAGTCTGGTAATGTATGATTTTAAGAATTTGTAACAAAGATTTTGGAAGTCAAGGAATTTCCTAGTAATGACTAATTTAAGTTTAAACTCAGGAAAAATTCTTCTCCTGTATACGTCGTTTCACCAACTTTTCCGGCTAACCAGGAAGATAAGTGGCCTGGAAAGTTCTTGCAGTTCAATGTCGAATATAAATATTCACACTAAGAATGCATTCACTGGGAATCAATGACAATACAGTAAGGTGTGGTTCAAACAAAGATTTTATACATAACTATAGGGTAGTGAACATTACCAGTCCATGACGGGCTCATTAGTAATTACCGCTAACCAGCCGGCCTAAATTAGACGATGAAAAACTGAGTCTCTGAAGAGAAGACCACCGGGAAAACACAAACAAACTACAATAAAAACAACTGTGAGTGCTTGGAAAATCTATACAATGCAAAAAGTATGTGCAATGGAAATGGTCCACATGCAAGATCAGATTTCTCTCAACCGTGCTCAGTGATTGCCCCATCTAAGTGCCGAGAAAAAACCACCAGGTCTGCGTCGATCTTCTCCCTCATTTCCAACCTGTGTTAAGATTATAGGATTTAATCATTTAAATATGTTTAACGGGCACGAAGCTTTACAGCTGGGCAAGAAAGTACCTCTTTGGCCAAATTCTGCAGGATTTCTATAATATCGGAAAAGGGGGGTCTTTGAGTCGGGTCCTGTTGCCAGCATCTCTCAAGCAGTTCGGCGAATCTTGGGTGAGTGGTCTTGGGAATTGTAGGTCGTAGGCTCTGACAGTCACGCCAAATAAATGTTAATCCATAAGAATATCGTGTGGCAGAGTTATGCCAAATTGTTTGGAGTAAGTACCTTTTGCACCACACCTACTGCTGCTTGTAACGGGGTCAAGGATGAGTAGGGGATCTGGTAAATAAACCATAAAGACGACCGTGAGTTTTGAAATTAATGCCATTATCAACTGACGCACTGAATAGCAAATGCAGAAGCAAGCATAGTGCACACAATCTCATTTGTTCTTGCAAAGAAAAGTAGGCACTTACTTGTCCAGTTAGAAGCTCCCATAGTACTATTCCAAAACTGAAAATATCTGCCTTGTGATCATATGGTTTGTGTTCGATGACCTTCACAAGACCATGGTAAAAAGAAGCTGAGAGATAGGTTACGTTAAATGAAGTCAGCACAAACTACCAACCAACATAGTTATTGTTGAACCCGATGATAGCAGGCCCAAAAAGCTCCGCAATAGCTCTAACTCCCCTTCGGGACAAATGTTTAGTGGGATTGAGTTGAACACGTGAATAATTAAACTATGAATTCTATCACTTTAAACAAATTCTGATTTAAATCACTTGGAAGTTGTTCCTCTTTCTGATATTATCCACAAAATAAAAGTAGATTTACGAGGAGATTACTACCTCAGGAGCCATCCAGCGGTATGTACCAGTTTCAGCTGTCATCACTCCAGATTGAGTCTGCACTCTGGCAACCCCAAAATCAGCAACCTTAACGACCTGTACAGGAAGGATATATGATTCTAAGCATTAAAAATCCACAAACGTGCTAAGAATAGTTAATTGACACACAGGATTTTGGGTGAATTTTTTTCTATATAAATGCAAAGGGAAAACAGATGTGGCAGACAAATGAATCGTTGATTGAATAGTCACGAATTATACTTACTTCATGTTCATCCATAAGAAGATTGGCAGTCTTAAGATCCCTGTGGATTATATTATTTTGGTGCAAATAGTTCATTCCCTTGGAGACATCAATTGCTACTTTGAGTAGAGATGGAAGCTTAAACACACCCTTGTGCTTATGCAGAAAATCGTATACACTTCCTTTGGACATAAATTCTGATAAACAGGAACATGAGCATCAAAAGGTGGTCATCAGTGAATTCAAATCGCATTAAATTAAAATTCGTAAGTGTTGACAATCAATATATCACTATTCTCTTCAGTTGTAACCAATTAGACGTGGTATAACAAAGATGAAAGTACGGCACCCATCCATAGCAATCATGACTACTCAATAAATAAGATACTTGTGCACATGAGAATCAATAATATATATATATATATATTCTCTAAAGATAAACCTGTCACAATGCATAGGTTTGGAGGTCGTGTACATGCTCCTATAAATTGCACAACATTCTTGTGCCGAATCTTCCTGCCAAATGTCATGATATCAAGAAGTTTACAAAGCTGCACGGAAAATGACAAACTGCCATCAACAAGTATACGCAGGTACATGGATGCACCTCAATATATAAACTTCCTGTGAAAAATCCCTGAGCATCTCTGCATTGACACGCTCAGGTTTGAGAAGTTTTATGGCAACTTCCTGAGTACAATAAGTACCTCTGTACCTAAAAGAAGTTGAAAGCAGCATGTCAAACGAGTACCAGCATAAAATTCAACACAGGATTCAAAATGTAACTTACAGATCACCGAATGACCCAGATCCAACTTTGTTCTCAAATTTCAGCTGCCTTGCATCAATCTCCCAGACATCTGTTCCATCAGTTGGTATTTCTATGCAACTGGGGAAGGACTCATCCCTTGTTTGATTGTCCTCACCAACAGCAGCGATTGGATGTGGTTTTGACCAAGGTTGCTCCTAACATACGAAATCACAATAAATCATGTGATCAGATGGGAACAATGATCCCCAAATATTCAGCATGATGGTAGGTGGTATCCAGTTTTAATGAGATAAACAAAGATTCACCAGATTAACAGATTTTAAGAAACCATCCCAAGTATTCCCATACCACATTATTCTGAATCTATTCAAAGAACGAGACATTTTAAATTTTGTTCTACAATATACAGCTTTATAATTAAGCAAATCAAGGAGTAAAAAACTTACCTTAAATTTTGAAATTTCCTTTTCTAGAACACTTGTGAGCTCCTCCGTTTCCTATTGTTACATGCAAGAACATTTTGTTCAATGAACGAGAAGCATGTGAACCAAATATCCAGGAAGAAACATATAAAACTCATACCTCGTATTTCCACCCATCAACCACGAAAACATCAAGAGAAAATCCATCAACAGTGGAGAAAGCATGAGCTTCTTGAATATTCAGTCCAATCTCAGCAAGTAATGAAGTTAACTGGAAAATTAATCACTAATAGATATCATTGATCATTAAGAGAGTAGGCCAGGACTCCAGTGGAAAAATGACAGAAAGACAACAGAAAATTTTCCACAGAATTGTTTAATCATAACACATTCTTGAAAACTCACAATTTAATGTTAACAACCTAGGAACTGTTCCACCAAGCATATCTCATGGAAAAAGATAAGTAACTCTGAGTTATAGAGTTCCAAACATTTACTAGCTACAGGGTTGAAAATACAGAAATCAAGACTCTAGAGCCCCACTAGTCAGGCTCTCCTAATATAGCATAATATTCTAGGAAAATAAAAAACCTTTTTCTATAAAAGTAAAAAAATATCTATATCAATTGTCTATAGAATGAATTCCAGTTAAAGGACAAAAGCTATGAGCTCATGAACAGAATCAGATGTGTACCGCATTGAATAAAAATTGGTAGAAATTAAAGATCAACAGCATACATGTGGATATACAGATGAGGACTACCTGACTAAGAAGTTTGGGCTTGTCAACTGTTGAAAACGTGATCTCATGCATAGGCCTACACAATTAACAACAATAATTAACATCAAGATTTACAAACAACCAATGCAAATAAATTAGTACCAACATTGTGTCTGTATCCATGGTAAACAATAACAAACACTTTACTTTGTAGTATAGAAGCGTCTTGGGCAAAAGCCTAAAGTATGTAGCCCCCAACTTCGCAAGTAAGTACAAAACACTATAAACTACGAAAAACCGACAAGAAGATGGAGAGAGAGAAAAGCTGGAACAATCTAAACCGTAAAAGAAATCTATGGCATAGAATAATTGTTACATGATTATGTTAACTAAAAGTCCTATTGAACATATTCCACTGCGCATGGGAAACTTCTCAGATTTATCATTTAGTTAAATGGATAATCCATCGGCATCTCTGTTTCTATTTCTATGTATTTTGATAAATTTGAAAGAACAACAAAGTAGCAGATAAGTTATCAAACTAAACACCTCTATAAAATGAAAGGGAGAAGCCATTTCTCCGTGGATGAGTAACTACTTAAGATTGGGTCAAATGTCATTTCTTACCCCGAAAAGACTGGTGTTGCACTCATAGCACTACCTCCATCTTCAACATGGTATCTATTGGCTTGAAGTGCCAGTGCGTCAAGAGTAGGAGATGAACCAAAGGTGGGAGGTGCATGAATCCTGGTGACAGAACAATTCAATGATTAGCACATATAAGATTAAAATACAAAATGCAGAGTGAGGTTATTGAATGCAAAAGAAGGATGGAGAATACAAGTAACTGATATACACTTATAATGTGACATACCCTCGTCCGTTAGAGTAACTGTAAGAACTTTGTGCATCTTCTTTCATCGAAGAGTCTGAATGGACCGAGTCAACAGAATTTCCATTGAAGACAGGATAAACCTGCATCAGAAAAACGATTTTCATGATTAGCCAGTAGTCACGCATCATTGCCCAAATAAATTACATTGATTTTAATAGATAATTCCAAGTCTTCAACTAAAGACTAGAAAACTCTACTCACTATTCAGGCAACACAAGTTGGACGAACCGTTCCCACTAGAAAAGAATGCGTACCACAGTCTAACCATTATACATATGCGCATGATGCAGGGATAAGTGCAGGCATGCACCCACAAACAAAGACGGATAGCATTAAGCACCAACAGAGTTACATCAAGCTAATATCCGAACTATTCCAACAAATGCATAGGTGTTCACCTGCACAGAGCGAACTTGAAAGGCAGGTTGATTAGCAGGGTCTTCTGCAAATTGCAGCAATCTCTTATGTGCTAGAACATCTTCTGCCCTCTCCACATTCACATCCAACGCGTAACTACATAGCAGCAACAACAACAATGACACAATTATACAAACATTAATAAACTGCGCCAATTTGGTATCTTTTTCTCCTACTATCACTATTTCCAGCAATACGAATTCGTAAACTGAAAAAGTTATAAATATGAAACAAGTAATCATCTGAATTCCGTAAAGATTCCAACTTTTTATTTTCTTCAAGTTTCCCAAACTTTCCCGGCAACCAAACAAGCAATGCCAAAAGCCAAAAAGCGAATTACCGAACATACAAATCGAAATTACATTATTCTAGGGTTAAAAAGAAGAGGTACCGAGCAGGCAACCGATTGAAATGAAGCCATAGCTGATCATCAAATCCAGGAAGATTGGCCTCCTCAAAATTGGACTCTTGGATTCGTCGGAGCACCTCGTTGTAGACCTCCAGCTTCTGCCGGTGGTGGCGAGGCTGCGCCTGAGACGACAGCACCGCTCGGCTGCCGCAGCTCTCCACGTCCTCATCGAAAGCCATTGGAAGAACTCGGGAAAAGCTTGCTGCTTCAGAGAAGTGAAATAAATCAGGTGTGGATTTATAGATTAGAGCAGAGGAATATGCTCGGAAAGAGTGAGATGCAGATTTTAGAGAGAGAAAGAGGGAGGAGAGAGAGAGCTTGAACTGGAAAAAAGAGAAGAGTGAGAAGGAGGAGAGAGAATCGCTTCCGTCATGGCATTTTTGGCCTTTAGCGACGGTGGCCCACCACCTGCTGAGTCATCGGTGGCTTATCCATCATGGCACTAGTTATTAAGGAATAATGATCATTTCTCTAGATTCTCTTTGTGAGGATTTTAAGAATCATTAAATTGTGTCCGTTCATCATATATCGTACAGTTATAAATTATTTTAAATTAAATATAAATAGTATCTGACGAAAATTAACTGCATGATATACGATAAACGAACACGATTTAAGAATCCCCAGAATCCTCATAAAGAGGATCGGAAGACGATCCTCCTTGGTTATTTAGTACCAAAATAAAAATTCATGGCTATCCAAATAAAAATGTTGAATTTGTTTTTGTTTTTAAATTAGTTGTCTAGACGCTAATCCAAGTCAATTCTCTAATGAATAAACGATTTACAGTTATTCACACACGTAAATGATTAATGATAGCAAAATTTGTAGTTTTTTTTATTTAAATAAAATAATTTCTGAGATTGGCATAACTTCTCACTTTGTCTCTAACAATGAAAATAGATAGGAGTGGTACTCGACTTCATCCATCGTAAATCATTTTGGTTATTCTGTGAAAATTGTCAATATCATCGTTAAATGGAAGAGTTTTTTGACAAAACTATCCTTAAAAAGGTGGTCACATGGTTCTTCACGTGATTATACAGCAAGATATTGACAAATTTTTCACAAAATGACCAAAATAATTTACTGTGAACAAACTCAATAATCACTTTTATCAACTTTTATTGTTAGAAACTAAAATTAGAAGTTATGGCAAGATCAAAGACCTTTTTAAATGAAAAAACTAACATATAAACTCGTAATTAATAAATATCATATGTGTGAACCTTTAATGCGAAAAAGAGTTTCACAATGCATAAACGACCCACTGTCATTTGCATCGCATGAATGATAACAAAAACTGATGATAACCAAAAACTCAGGCATTGCCGTATTGGTAAGTTCTACTTGTCATGAGTGGCACAAGAAAATGAGGCTCTCATGGGGGCCAGCCTCGGGGACAAGCACTGCTAACCCATTCTGCTATATAAAGTACATATTCCATTTTATCTCTATCTGCTTGCTTAGCTCACATTCCTATATTAAATGCCCTGGTACCTGAAGCTGGACACCTTAAAATTTCGGCCGTCGGATATAAATGGTGATGTTATTTACATTTTTTTTTTAACTTTTTCAACACTTCTCTTAATTTTTTATTGCTAAATTGAATGAATTAAAGAGTATTAAAAAGCATAAATTAATAAAAAGTGTGTGAAGGGTAAACAGGGAGTGTGGATAACATCGTCCTATAGAAATATCCATTCTTAAAGTATCTTCAAATGAGTCATCAAATTTTTTTTCTTTAAAATTGTCATTTGCTAATTCGTTTGGCGCTTTCTTAGTCCCATATTATATGAAAACATGCATCTGCATAGTTATTATTGTCAATGTGTACAAAAAATATAAAAGAAATAAAATACTTGGCACCCAAGGCATCCTATCTAGGAAGGGTTACATTCATTAAGGATAAATAAGTCTATAAATTCTATTTTTAACTATATCTATATTAAGTAATAACTTTCATTACAGTTATAAAATTGGTTTGGTCCCAACTGTATAACATTAGAGAGGTTTTATTGTACCATCTAATTGTTTTTTAAAACTATTTGACAAAAAAAAAAAAAAATCATTTAAAAATGTTGTTTAGCGGCACTCTTCTCACTTGTAAGTCGGAGGTTATAGATTCAATTTTCATAAATTACAAGTTTCTTCTCACTTATAAGTGAAAGTCTTAGGTTAAGTGCAATTCTCATGGGTGTCGAGTTACCAAACTATTTTAGTTAGCTTATTATGTGGCTTACTCCATTCCCTTCACTCTTAATATAAATAAATGGAGAATGTTGGCAACCTTTGCTTGGAATCTTTTGGAGGCAGATTGTCTGCCCTCCTGTTTGGGTACCCTTCTCATCTCATTCTATTTGTGCGGTCACGGTTAAGCCACATTAACATTTTATATTCCTATTACTTTTTGTCTTATCATCTCTATAAAAAAAAATCAATGTAAAATGTTGACGTGATTTAACCGTGATCGCATAAAATTGGAAGGGATGGGAAAGGTACCCAAACAGGAGGGCAAACAATTTGCCTCCGAATTTTTTTCTTCTTCAAATGGCACGTGCCATTTTTTAACATATAAAATAAGATTTTCAATGCTTTTGGCTAATGACACGTATAATGATATAACGTTTTTGTTCCTTTTAACCTACTACAATGCTATTGACAATAGCCTATTGTTAATTTTCTTGTAGGATCAGCGCAAGTGGGTTAGAATATGACAGTAGGGATACACTTGGAATTATTTCCAATACAATAATCATTACTGAAAAAAATAAAGATATTTTCTATGTTGAGACGTTGAAATGAAACCGTCGCCAAGATGACTAAAAGTTAAGTGATGGTCATGACCAAATATTAGACCGTGACACGAAAGTTTTTTTTTTTCCTCCGATTATTCGTCACCGTTAGCTATTGCTGGGCCTTAAAATCAATTTGGTCGAGTCCAGGCCAATAGCTCGTTTGCGAAGAAATATTTTCATATGACAATCTCATGTGCTCATTCTTCCACATATGTCAATGTCAATGGCGGTTTCTTGGATAAATCATATCTTATTTGATGTGCATCTCTTAGATCGTACAAGAATTTTGAATACATTGATATTTTTACACTAAGAAAATGGAGAGTTTGGTTAAATCATACAATGAGCAACCTAATTTGGTATCGAATTCGCCATCCACGAGATTTGAACCTATGACCTCTCATTTTCCAGTGAAAAGAAATACTATCAAACTGTAGTATTAAATGACAAATCATACAAGATTTAAACTATGCATGGTGACAGAAAGAAATTTAACGCACTTTATCAAACTCTCACAAGGATTTTACTATATTTTGCAGGCCTAGTAGCTCTTTAGCTAGTAGCTATGACAAAGGAGTCTTGTTTGTTGTATTTGTTATCTTAACAGATGATGTCATATCAAACTCGTTATTTTAACGAATTTTTAACAGGTGACCTAATAAGGACCCAATTTGTTAATGGGTCGTGTCGTTTCGTTTCGGATTAACAGGTCATGCAAGAATATGTCATGTTTAATATCTAGATATGACAAACGGTATCTTATTGGATTCTAAAACAGTGACCGGATAACGACTCGAAACGTTAATGAGTAACCTGAAATCTATTATTTTCATATCATTTTGTATCAAGGTAGCAGATCGTGCAGGAAAATGCTAGACATACTTGCTAGTGACAATGTTTTAGTAGTTTGAAGCAATAAACTTGAAAAATGACCATGCATGGTTGTGGATAGTTTTACGTCCATTCCCTTTCATCGTGATGACCGCTAGGTGATGTGTGATGATCTCATGTTTGTTACTACTTTCACACTTGGTTTTGTGAAGCCTTGAGAATGCCACAATGCATAGCTTTGAAGCTATTTGCTAATTGACATTTTTAATTCCTTGTCGGGGATTATTGAAATGTCTTTGACAATTGAATGTGAATACAATATGTTGCTTGGAACAAAAGTTTTTTAATTGAAACAAAAGTTTATTATCTAGATTCTGTACTCGAGTTTTGTTAAAATTGTTTATATAAATTTCATTATATTTAACCAAAAAAATATTATGAAATCCCAAATATGATTGTTAATAGCACTATATTTTATTGATTGAACCACCATATATGAACGAATTAAGCTCTTATGCGATGGTTCATGGTGGGATAGAGATTAAATATTTTACATTCATTTTGTGTGTGGCTTCTCTGTGGTATATATCATTTATTGATATGTGTTAAATTTATAACAAAGTTAAAGACGGTTAAGTTTATTAACACGTATTAATTAATAATATAAGCCACACACAAAATGTATTAGATTTGAACTCGGTGAGATGACCCTAGTCAACCTACCGTATTGTCTTCTGATTCTCTCTTATATCATTATTTCTTCAAAAATTTATCTAGAAATGCAAGAAAAACTCAAATATTCATCTAATTAATCCCAATGATTTTATGTACATTGTTTACTCTTTTCGGAATATAAGCAAATCGAAGATTACGAGTGCGGTTTCGTATGAATTTCAAATCTTAACTGATGTAACAATATTTTGTTTTTTCAAGTAGGGTGTAATGTCACTTACCACACATCTTGACAATATAAATTTAGTAAGTTTTGATAAATATGGTATTGTTGTTTAAGATGTGCCAGTGTCTTGCCTGGACGTGTGATATTGTTTACACTTTCGTTTATCTTACAAACAAAAGACTGTTCCGCCCAATAATTTTTTAGCAAAAAACAAATTGCACCCATAATTTTGTTGTCATTGTTTTTAAAAAATTAACTCTGTCAAGCCTGTCCACCCTTCCAATGGCCGGAAGACGTACAAAAGCCAACTCATTAGTATGTTCAAAGTATTATAGATTGCTCCTAAACCAAATTAACCAATTAATTGGTGCAACTCATAATTATTAATTATCCTCCAATTCAAAAAATTAAAAATCATCCAGGAATTGTTAATTTCCAACTGAAAATAATAAAAAAAAAAGAATATTATTATTCGAGAAGCATATAACATTCTTTTGCTTAAAACATCGATGGAGTGTACATGTCAACCACTAAAAACACGAAACGTGGACGACAAAACCGCCACGAATGGTCTCGATTGAATCTCCACCGTCGGATGATGGATAAACGTAACAACTCAAATATCATAAACCAATTAAAAAAACCTTTGCTTTGTCAAATTATCAAAATATTCACGAAATAAATACAGAGAAGACAAATTGCAGAGTCAGAGAGGAAGGGACAACTGTTTGACATGAAGAAAACCAGGGAGGCGTTTCTTGCTGGGTTTACATAAGTCTGGCTGCTGTGGGCAAACTGGAACTTTTCTCTGCTGGGTGTATAGATTTTTACAAATATATGGGAAATCTTTGCTGGGTCTACTCTGTTTTTATTTGGGGTTAAATTATATAAATTCTTCTGTACCATATATTTATAAAGCTTTTGGCTTTGCGTATGGAAAATCTTTGCTGGGTTTGCTCTGTTTTGGTTTGGGGTTAATTAGATTAAGGGGATTCTTCTGTATCATATTTCAATCTTTTTTTTTTTTTGTGTGTGGAGAATTTGGATACAGATTATGGGCCAATGCATATCTAGGCAAGTGAAGAGAAGAGGGCTGGGTGGTGGTTCTTCAAGTTGTTCTTCTTCTGGAGGCAGCAGCGGCGGCGGAGGTGGCGGTGCTGGGTGTGCAGTGGGGAAAGGATGTTGGAGCATGATAAGAGAGAAAAGGTCCAGGTTCTATATTGCTAGGAGATGTGTGGTGATGCTACTTTGTTGGCATAAATATGGCAAGTATAAATGAAACTTCAATTCTATTTTTCTTCTTCTTTTTGTTTGATATTGTTTTAGTTTTTTTTATTTTCATGTTTAAATCAATGGAAGTTTTGCATTTGCATCAAATAGTAGATTTCATTAAGCTAGATGTCTTCCCTTTTCATGATCATGAAATTCATGGTTGGCAAGGTTTTTTCCTTCCTTTGATTATTCTTAATTTTATCTCAAAATTCGGCATATATTTTGTTGAGAGAAATTAATTTTTTTTTCTATAATTTAAGTTACAAGAAGGAATAGTAATTCTCATTGTTCTCTTCAATATTGCTACACTAGATTTACAAATAAAAACATAATAAGTTATACGTACAAATAAATGACTGGTTAATACCGATTACTAATTAATGAAATATCTTGACTAATGAACGCCCTAACTACGAGGTAGTTAAGCCATAGGCCGATTAATGCAAAGGGTGGTGGGCTAGGGTGGGATGTTTTTGTGCGTTGCGGGGGGAACGACTTACCTATACCTTAGGGAATTTAAGACCCATGATAGGTTGTATGTTTTAATTGTCCGACATGACATTGTATTGATGGTGAGGACATCGCCACTTGACATCCTCTTTTCATGTAAGGAGGCAGATTCTTTGTCCTCTCACTTTTCATACTTTTTCGTACTCTTCTATTTTATGTGATCACGGTTAAACCACGTCAACATTATATATATATATATATATATATATTTTATAGAGATAATAAGACAAAAAGAAATAGTAATATAAAATGTTGACGTGACTTAACTATGACCACACAAACAGGAGGGCAGGAAAAGTGGGAGGGCAGAGAATCTGCCTCCTTCATGTAAATCCTTAGGTAGATGTTTGACCCGACACCTAAGAATTTCTCTCTTACTTGATGTTGATAATGAATCTAACATTGACAAGGAGGAGGGACATTGAGCTTGTACGTAAGTTGCGTTACTCCTCAAATTTGCAATTGCTTTTATGGTGAAGCCTTAATTTTTTTCATAGTATTAGAGCAAGTTGTCTCACGTGTGAAGCCTAACAGCCACATTTATTTTACGCCATCCCCATGTTGTCCACGTGTTAACTTGAAAATTCGTCGCACATGAGCAGTCGTGTTGATAATGAATTTCACATTAATGAAAAACTTATAAGTAAGTTGAAGTACTTCTCAATTATCAAGTTTTAAAACGAAATTAACCCCAACCTTGTTCACTTGACCTATCTTTAACTCCTAACCTATCTAATTAGCATCACTTGGTTTTCAATACACAAACCAATGAACCTTGTTGTGTGGCCGTAAGAATCTTTTGTCAAGGTAAGTCCAAGCAGAATATACCATGGGCCATGGCTTTCTACGCTCCAGCTAATGAACCACCCAGAACGAGATAAAAGATGAAACAAAAATGAATATTCAAATGCAGAGACAAAATATTCACTTTAATTAATCATATAAATTTGCACCCAAAACACAAAATAATCGCATTAATTAATCATATAAAGGGTGTCTTTTTAATTGTTCATTATTCTACTTCTTGGAGTTATTTGATGGAACTCTAGCTAATGTGGACTGTGGAAACAAGATAGTATAAAAAAATTTGGAGGTTTATGTACAAATGAGAAAACAAAACACGACTTTGATCACATGAATCTATTTTACAATTTTTATAACAGTTAAACCAAGACAAATGTCTTGAGGGCCGACCCTTATAGAGTTGATTAGGAATCGAACTTGGGTGAGTATCGATTCTACAGCCTTGAAAACCCTCAAAATTTATGTACACTAAAAAGGAAAGAGGCAAAACCATGATCGCTTGAACTGGCTTTACAACTTATTCACCGATACATCAAAACAAATGCCTTGAGAGCTTGCCCTTTTAGAGTTGATTGGGTACCAAAATGAGGTGGCCACCTACTCGGCACCCTCAAGTAGCCTCAAAAATTGAGCACACTAAAGAAGAAAGAGTCAAAACCTTGGTCGCACAAACCAGTTTTGTAACTTGTCCAACATTTAATCCAAGACAAACGCCTTAAGAACTGGCTTTTTTAGAATTGATTGGATATCGAACTTAAGTAAGTGACTACTCCACATTCTTAAGGAACTTCAAAGTTCATGTATAGTAAAGAGGAGAGAAGCAAATCTCGATTGGACGAACATACTTTACAACTCGGTCAACCATTAAATCCGAATAAGTATCTTGAGAGCCAACCCTTTTAATATGGAATACATCCTCTCTGTATCCTTTCCATCTGGAACCTACGGACCTCCCTACCGTCATTCACCTTCTCCTCCCCCTTCCACCTCAATTTCCAATGCATATTTCTCCGACCCTTAACACCTCCCATTTTCTTCTTCTTTTCTTTCTCGACGGTTTGCTTCGTCGATCCCCATCGAAGAAGGTAAATATGTTGAGAAGGAGAGAGTGAGAAAGTTGAAAATGAAAAGTGATCTCAACAGCATGATTTTACATAAATGGCTGAAATTATTTGATCCACTCGATCCAAATACAAAAGATCCGGGAAAAAAAAAAAAAAACTAATGAAAAGAGCTTGAAAACTTTAAGTTCAAACGAAAATAACAAAATAAAATGTAAATTGAATAGTATCAGGATTGACTTTTTAGTGTAAATGTAGTCTTTCGTTAAAATGAACAGTACTGAAAGTTTTTCATTAAAATTTCAAAAAAAAAAAAAAAATCATGTTCTACTTTGAGAACAAAAATCGAGTGATTATTATTGCAACACTTTTACCAACCCAACAAAAATCCCTTTCTCATAATCCATCAAATCAGAGGATCTGTATTATTAAAATTTGATCCAACGACTGCAAACAAGGGTTCACTTTAAAAATTATAATAACTTCAACCGTTAGATCAAATTTCAACGGTACGAATCCCTTAATTTAATGAATTAGGAAGAAGAGATACGAAGAGAATCTCTTTCCTTCACAGAAGTCAAAAAGGCGCTTGCAGCTATCCCATCAATGTCTCATTTTTTTCAATTTCGTCCACAAGTTAAATCGCAGAGAACAAACATGAACTATCACCCAATTGGGTTAATTGAATCTAATTGCACCCAAATTATGTTACCACCTCCTTACTGCTCTAAGAATTTCAAATTGAATCTGTAACATCAGCCAGCAATGAATGTTGTGTATATTCTTTGTACACAAAAATCCAAACTTGTAGATTGTTACAAAGTACAACAACATTAAGCAAAACTCCAAAGCTCAAAACTTTATTATATATTTCCCTTCCTGGTAAGTTATTCCAAAATTTCAACAAACTCTCTATCCTCTCTTCTTCTCTTTTCGATGAACAACACCGACGGTTATGCGCTTCTTAACGGCCCAGTTAATCTCTATCCGGACGAAGCGTCGCCGGAATGGATGAACAAAGGAGACAATGGGTGGCAACTAATAGCAACCACCATGGTAGGCATGCAAAGTGTGCCTGGCCTTGTGATACTCTACGGGAGCATGGTGAAGAAGAAATGGGCCGTGAACTCAGCGTTCATGGCCCTATATGCTTTTGCCGCGGTCCTAGTATGTTGGGTCATGTGGGCCCACAATATGTCATTTGGTACAAAATTTTGTTCAATTTTGGGAAAGCCCGGTTTTGCCCTGAGCCAAAGTTTTATCTTGTCAAAATACGCCAGGCGTTATATTCCGATGGCTGACTATGTGTACTACCAATTTGTTTTCGCCGCCATTACTGTGATTTTGCTTGGTGGTTCCCTCCTTGGGAGGATGAACTTCTATGCCTGGATGCTGTTTGTGCCAATGTGGCTCACCTTGTCTTACACCGTGGGTGCCTTTAGCATTTGGGGGGGAGGGTTTCTTGAAAAGCACATCATTGATTATGCTGGTGGCTTTGTGATCCATCTTTCTTCTGGTGTGGCTGGTTTCACTGCTGCTTATTGGGTAATTGATCTTGACACCCAACTCCATGCTTAATATGCCATACGTTATCATTAGTTATGCTTATTATGCACAAACGAAATAGCTTACAAATTTTATCAAGTAGAACCAAGAAACACGAAATAGACAGTAAGCCGTAAATAATGAACCATAGTTTGGTGCATCTATATTGTTTGTTTGGGGTGCCTTCAGTTCTCTTTTTTATTAAATGGTTATAATCGATTAGATTCTTTAAGGGAAGAGATTCTTATTTTTCTTTTAAAATGAAAATTAGTTGTGGGATCCATTTTACATCAAAATTTAGCGATCCAAATGTCTATTTTCTAAGTCTCGATTCATAGAAAATCTTTGCAAAAAATCAATTCAATCCGAAACAATTTGCCTATTTAATTCTCACGATGAAATTTCAATGTTTTTTATAATATAATGTTCGTTAATTTATTTGGACTCAATTAGATGCCTCAAATATTTCCGATTTGACTAATATTTTGCTAAGATGATCTATGAGGTGCAGGACTGGCCCTGAGTATTTAAGGGCCCTGTGCAAAACTTAGATGGAGGCTCTTCATTTTTTTTAATGTTATATTTTTTATTTATTATTTTTTAAAAATTTTCATCTATAAAACTAAAATATTACAAGTTACTGCAACAACTAATCTTCGGTTTTTTTTTTTATTTTTTATTTTATTTTTAAATAGGTATCCCTTCTCTCAAAGAGCATGTATAACCAATTGTATTTGTGCATATTTCACTTCTTTCTTTCGTATGTTCTTCGTTTTAGATTTTCCTGGCATGATGGAGTGATATGGAGATGATCATGTAGGTAGGACCAAGGCAAGCGCATGACAGGCAACATTTTCCACCAAACAACATAATTCACATGTTGGGAGGTGCAGGGTTTTTGTGGCTTGGATGGACAGGATTCAACGGAGGATCTCCATTTGCAGCAAACATGATCGCATCTTTGGCCATTTTGAACACTCATATCTGCACTGCCACCAGCCTTCTGGTGTGGGTTTCCCTTGACATGCTGGTCTACCGGAAAAGCTCTGTGATCGGTGCGGTCCAGGGGATGATCACCGGCCTCGTCTGCATCACCCCTGGTGCAGGTAATCTACTCCTTGCTCAATTGACCAAACCAATGAAAACGTCCTCTCGTTGATCAAGTGGATTCTTGTTTTAAAGTCGAGCGTCAAACAATCTGACAACATAAGACGTCATATATCTAACAAAAAACATAACTTAAAACAACTAAACATTGGTGTCATAAAAACAAGAACATGATGGTTAGGAATGTTTATGAACTGGGTTTTGATTTATTTAAGAAAGTAAAAACAAGCAATTTTGCAGCATTCCACCAATAATATGTACATGATGGAGCAGGGATTGTGGAGCCATGGGCAGCAGTAATAATGGGAGCAATGTCTGGCTCAATACCTTGGTACACCATGATGATATTGCACAGAAGGTCAGCCTTCTTCCAAAGCGTCGACGACACTTTGGGGGCCTTCCATACGCATGCAGTAGCCGGCCTCTTGGGGGGACTCCTCTCGGGCTTCTTTGCCCGACCCAACCTTCTCCGAATGATGTACCCGGACAATACATACGGTCCTGGTTTAATGTACTGCATCCATGATGGGAAAACAAAAGTTGGCCTCCAACAAATGGGGTACCAGATCGGTGGAGCACTTTTCATCATCGTATGGAACGCCGTTGTCACGAGCTTGATATGTATTTTGATCAGCCGCATTGTTGATCTTCGAATGAAGGAAGAGGACCTCGACATTGGTGACGATGCTGCGCATGGAGAAGAAGCCTACGCTCTGTGGGGAGACGGGGAGAAGATGTCTACACAGATTCGATGGCAGAATCCTCGGATTCCTTCCATTTGCAGACGGCAGGAGCAGAGTCTTGTAGCGGAAATGTAATAAGTTCAGCAGTACCTTCCCCCTTTTTTTATCGTTCAAAGAATGCATGCCGCAACTCTCGTTGCTGGCTTCCATTTCAGTTCATCTTTTGGTTCTCGTCTGCAAAGTGCACATGTTCATACTTCATACTGGTGAAGAATGTAGCTACTGGAGTACATGTGACATGTAATTTACGTTCACGTCACACGTCTTCTGTAATTTGGCGAAAAATAATGAGATAAACAAATATACTACGAGTCCAAATTCAAGCATTATGATTCAAATTACGAGCAACTTTCTGTTGGAACACAAAAGAACAGCTATCGTTGTCAAGGATTCTGATACGCAAGCTTTAGAGTCGCAAGAACGTAAATTTCAGTAGAAACATCCAATATCTTTTGAAAGAAGATTCTTCGATTCGATTAAAAAAAATTTGGGCAAACACTATTGATCCTTCTTTTCATACAACAGTTTGGTAAGATTTACAGACAGTAGAGTTACGGATATGCATCTCCAAAAGTTATTGACAGTAGATTTACAGACAGTTTGGTAAGATTTACCGACCGTCTTTAGGGAACTCGATACACGATTAATATTTACATATTTGGGGAAATTTTCTAAGGCGGCTGTACATTAAATATTATAGAAGTTCCCTCGTTATCCAATAACTCGTAAAGGTCTTCCTTGCACCATAATCTTCACAATGAAAAGCTATGCCAGAGGTCTAGAAGGCATATTCGTTGAAGAAACGACTCATTAGAGCAGAATAACCTTATATAGTGATCAAGGCCCTTGAATTGACTTGCGAAGCTTGAATAGTTCGTCTCTCCATATGGCTGCAGGAACAAGCCGTTAATTTACAAATTATCTAATAACCATATAAACATGAATCAAGCAATCCAAAGCAAGTTGTTGAAATAAAAAACAATGGGAAATCGTAACGTGACTTAGTAATTGTATATGTTAGAAAAGCAGTGAATTGAAGTCCCGATAAAATACCTGCATCTTTATATCTTTCCTCTTTGATAGCTAGATTGATATTCTTGACCAAACCAAGTTCTTGAATTAAAGAATCTGGGCCCTCTATAGCACTGAAAAGAATGTAACATATGATCAGACATACAGAAAAGAATGACGACGCAAAATAGAGGCCCCCAAAATACAATTCAGTTGGAAGTACCTGTCAAGAGATACATCATAACAAGACTTTGTCACGCGCCCTCCGCCCATCCCATAACTGAACCTCACTGCATCTGTTAAGACAATCTGTTTGTTTACATATATGGGTGCCTGCACATGGCAAGTGTCACTCGAACTTAACATCAATTTCAACGACACGATCATGCTTAAACAGAAGGTTTCTTCTTGCACATGAAGAAGCAGGAATATTTACTGACAAAGTATGAGCATTTGTGTTGAGGAAGACAAGAGATAGACACCTTGCATCTATGTGCGAAATTTATGGCGTCTGATGGGCGTGCATCAACACTAAGAAAGCCATTTTCCCCTGGCTGCAAACAGGAACCTCAATGTTATAAGCTTGCTTCACTTTCTTTAAAAGATTAGGACATAACTCATCAGGGTTTTAACTTTTACCACCTTGCTAAAGTACAATCTGGCAAAGTAATTATTCCGCACTCTTTCCGTAATTCTCACCATATTCACCTGGAATTGAAGAATTGACATAAATAAGACAATGATCTGAATGGTTTTACATGCCACCTTGAACTTGGAAATTTAGTTTAGTACAATTAAAATGCAACACTACCCATTAGGGATCTGAAGACTATGGATGTCCTTTTAAGTCAGACAAATTACATGCTTGCAGCCCTTTCTCAACACTCACTTCTAAAATCTACTTATTGGTATCATCATATTTCTTATGAACATGCAATAAACATAAGTGAGACTAGTGAGTAGCTAAAGCAAGAAAAGGACAAACGACAAAAGCATTATCTTTGGCCCTTCAAAAAATAAACCTAACACATGGAAAAAAATTAGCTCCATACTTGATAGCCGAGTTTGTCAACGAGATTTCTCATAAAGTGAAATTGATCCGGGGGGTCCTGCAGCAAGACCGATTTTGGGATCAATACACATTTTACACAAGAAGGCATCAATGCAACCAAATGAATTACAAAGTTCATGCAGTTACCCCATTCTCATCTCCCCATTGGCCGTCTATGAGATTTTCGATCGCGAATTCGCCTGAAAACAAAAACCAGATAACGAAATTTAATGACCGAGGATGTGTACTCCAAATTACATTCACATTCATTCATATGACACGCATAACTTAATATACCTACAACAATTGGAAGCAAAAAGTCTCCATCACAAGAAATCTTCAGAAAAATCGTCGGACTTTGGAAACGATGGACAAAGTTTCGGCCTAATGTATCGAAAAAATTATGTTGTCGGCTGGCTCGGACGGGAAAGGGACGCATTTTACCAGATGACTGCCATTTCGTTTCTTCTTGAAAACCTCGCCTTTGCATACGGTAGTGAGATATAGTTTCTGCAGTAATTAAACACAAATAAACAATTTCAAAGACCTAATCACACTCAATTAGCATCAAATTACTCCACTTTAGGACAAAATTGCAGAATTTAGGTAACAAAGACTTCATCTTTCGGACGAAGTTGTAAGAATTTCAACAAAATCAAATCAAAATCAATTCGATAATCACGAATGCATAGAAATGTCCGTATCCGTATATTCATATAAATATGTATATGCATGCGATGAGAGAGAGAGAGAGAGAGAGAGAGAGAGAGATGGGACCTGAGAGGAGGAGGGAAGCTTGGATGTAGTCGAAATCGTGATGATCGTCGGCTTTGCTGGATCTGGAGGGAGAGGAAGAGTTGCAGCAGGCAATGCGGAGCGATTTGAGCGAATTGCACCGTTTTGGTGATCTGTTAAACCCTAACCGAACCGTGCAGACCAAGTGGCGCGAAGAGGAGGAGGAAGAAGAAGAAGTGTTTGGAATCGGACGGATGGCAGCTAAGCGATCCGGGCCGCGGCATTGAGCTCCGGCTCCAAGCATTGTACCAAACAAAAATATCAAGATAGACAGAGAAAGGTAGGAGAGAGAAAGTTGAGCTTAGCTTCGGTTTCAACTAGGCGCTTTCCTCTTTCATTTGCGGCTGCCTTTTTAACTCTTTTTCTAATCAATGTGATCAACGAGTCTAATTAATGATTAATTATTTTATAATTTTGTTCTAATCCTCCCTCTTAGAGACATGTCTCCCCGAATAAATTAACTCAACTCGATCGTTTCCGTGGGCCGGTGGTGGCTCCGTCGGTTTTGACTCAGTGCTTGCACAAATATACGTGTCTGACAATAGTACCTCTCGACATGTCGACATAACATAACATTTGTTAATGCATGAAGGGTCCCTTTTATTGACCCTCAAAATAGTACAGGCCGAAAAAATGCCCGACAAAAGTCCAAGAAAGGTCAAGGTCGAATAAAGGTGAAGAAGTCCAAGGCCCAATGAAATTAGAAAGGAGCATTTCTAAGCGCTATGGCCGATCACTCACCAATCTGAATGGACTAAGTAATATAAAGTATTTTTTGACAGACACAGGCATGTGGGTAAATTGACAGTTTTATGGTACGAGGCTCTAAGAACAGGCCTACTCAGATAGCATATTTGTCGGTCATCAGCGAAGACAGAAGTCTTGGATGAGACGTAAAGGTTGCCAAACCATTGCTAGGAAGGAACACCGGTGACTAGTCAAGGCTGAGCTTGTGCTTGGTACACGTTTTGGCCGATAACACATGTAATCCCAACTAAGTTACCATCACCTCACCGCAACATGTCAACTAATATACAAAAGAATAGCTAGCACGTAGCCTACATAGGTAGCTCATTTAATGCCAAAATAAAATGAACCCAAAACCTTTTGGACTTGCTAAGGGCCTATTTAATGGGGGTAGTGCCTCTTATATGGGACCAAACGTTTGTGAGGAAAAAGAATCTAGACTATGACTGAGCGCTTCTTGTAATCATTAAATTAATATATCCCGAGCACCATAGTGAATGTAGCCCCATTTTGAACGATGAAAAACTTAATCTTGAGTCCATTATTTCACAGCTTTAAACTTGAACCCATCAAGAGTTAATTGTTCTAATTGGTAACCTACAAATTTTGGGCCTTAACAAAGTTTAATAAATATTCAGCATAGCAATGACAGGTCAACATAACGTGACATGATTGATTAGCTCGTAATTACATACAATTACAAAGTTAGTAAGAAAGCCAATGACTTTGAGATTCAAATGTTCTCCTTTCGATATTCCGGTTGGCATTTTTGAAGTTGTAACAGTATCGGCTCGCAAATTGGACTGCTGCTGCTGAAACTTTGATGTAAAAGTTATGGCAGATCAAACCGTGGTTTGCCATTATCATTTGGCCAGCTGAGGCACCGATGAGGCGGATACGCGGTTAGAGTATCAACCCGTTAATGCGGCTTCGGAAGAAGCTTCAACAGCTTAATTAGCTCGTAAGTCCTCGTGTCTTGACCAGTGTAGAGGCAAAGGTCAAGAGGGGTTAAACCATCCTGCAAGAAAGCAAACGACTTGCAATCAATTCTCGTAACATACGCAGATCTTACGGTTCCACATCAAGGAGATGAGAAGCATGTACTGGAAAGTCAAAAAGTTGCTTCGACTTGAACATCGTTATGTAAGAAGAGAAATCAAGGAGGACAGTTCAAGCATGTGCAGAATCCAGAAATACTATGTTTACCTTGTTCTTCAATGTCTTATCCGCTCCTTTAATCAGCAAAAGCCTCACAACATCTGTTCTTCGGCCTTGAACAGCTAGGTGTAACCGCGTCCAACCATCCTATAGAGAAAGTAAAATATTTTTTAAGTTTACTTTTCTGAATTATTATTGATTGAAGTTGCATAATAAAGTGAGGGGAAATTAAAATCGTATGTTGTCCTGAAGGTTTATATCAACACTATATAACTGAAGAATTTTGATTGCTTGACTGGAAGCTGTTCCGACGGCATAATGCATCAAGGTGGCGCCATCCTGGTTTTCACCATAAACATTTAATTGGTACAATAATCTTCACACCAATACCAAACTGGATACAGCGATACACTAGGTGAATTTTATCACGAACAAATGGATTAGCTGATTTCTCAAAAGATGGTTCGTGATGGCCTGGTTTTTACCAAGAATTGCTTTGTGAAACGCGCTCCAACCATCCTGGAGAAGAAATGAACCAAATCTCAAATCAGTATCGAAAAGCCAAGAACAATATTCTGCATTTAACATTCTAATGTAAAAGGCGGCCATTTACATACCTTATCCACGACATTGATATCAGCATTATGTTTCAATAAAGCATCCATAAGGTAAAATTCTCTCGATGCAGCAAAGAGTATGCAGGGGTAGCCATTTGCTCTGAAAGAGTTTACAAATACTTTACAGTTAACAGCTTCAAGTTCATCAAATTACAACTACGACAATGCGTCTCCGTGCAAATTTACGTAGGGGGTACAACATTTAAGGTTCAATTTCACTGAGGTACAATTTCCTAACCATGTACTAATGATCATAAGAAAAAGGGACACTTACAGAGGTAGCAACAGCTATATCAGATTTTCGCTTATTAAGCAGAGCCTTTTCCTCTTTCGAAAGCAACTTACGGGGTCCTATTCATCCAAGCAATAAACAACATCTCACAGACCATATCAAATAAACAAAACCACAAGAACCAATTCAAATCCCACCTAAAAAAAGTTATCCACGCCGAAAAATCGGCTAAAAAGAGAGCTTGAACACTTGACTATCATCTAAAACATATAAAGAATTATACCTCCCCACATTATCCTACACCTACACACCAAAGTTCACTACTTTTCCAATAAAACTCAAAGCTCACATTTGCAATCTAAATTCGAAAAAAAGTCGCAATCCCATCCAAAATTTCAGTACAAATAAGCAACTACCTTCACTTCAGATTTCTTAACGCCAGGCTCATAATTCCCACTGTTAAAGAACTCTGCAACATCCTCCAAACCCTTCCCATAAACGGCCCACCTCGGATTCTTCGGCGCCACTCGGTCACTCGATTTCACACCATCCCCTTCGTTCTCCTGCACCTCCTGCCACTGGTCCGAAACCAAATTCTCCGATCCGATTGTTAAACTTGTTAGGAGTCTCTTAACCACTAGGGTTAAGCTTCCTAGTTTCTAGGTCCACTTTGTAATCGTTAATAATTCCTATTATTAAGGAACCAGTATTGTTTCACGTTCAGTCTTTAACCCTAGTCAGATACCACGATTCTAGGTGCTGTAAAATCGTGGGTTGTTATTTTCATTCAGTTATCTTGTAAGGCTATAAGTAGTCTATGTTATCTTTGAATTCAATAAGATAATTCTCCCAGAAACCAAGTGTGTATTGAACTTCCTTCTCTCTCAGTCTCTCGAAGATCTTTTTGTTTTTTAACATCTGGTATCAGAGCCCCACCACGGGGCCTGATTTAAAGTCTGACAGTAAACACGAGTGCAGTGAGAATGAGCAGCGATATGGCAGGAGAAAGTAGTTTTGTGCAGCCAGCCATTCCTAAGCTTGATGGGCACTATGATCATTGGAGCATGCTGATGGAGAATTTTCTGCGATCCAAAGAATACTGGAGTTTGATAGAAATTGGGGTTCCTGCAGTAGCAGAAGGAGTGGATCCTACAGAGGTACAGAAGAAGACAATCGAAGATCTAAGGCTAAAGGATCTTAAGGCAAAGAATTATCTGTTTCAAGCCATCGATCGATCGATCTTGGAGACAATTTTGAAAAAGGATACAGCAAAAGACATTTGGGACTCCTTGAAGCAAAAATATCAAGGCACGGCTCGGGTCAAACGTGCACAGTTGCAAGCTCTTCGCAAAGAGTTTGAAGTACTCCACATGAGGGTGGATGAGTCTGTTAATGGGTACTTTGCTCGAACTCTCACCATTGCCAACAAGATGAGAGTGCACGGTGAACAGATGGGTGATGTGGTGGTCATCGAGAAAATCTTAAGATCCATGACTCCAAAGTTTGATTATGTTGTGTGCTCCATTGAGGAATCAAATGATATAGACAGTTTGTCCATTGACGAACTTCAAAGCAGTCTGTTGGTTCATGAGCAAAGAATGTGTAGGCATACTGAGGATGAACAAGCACTACAAGTTACGAATGATGGAGGACGAAGAGGAGGCCGTAGTTCTTACCGCGGAAGAGGAAGAGGACGTGGTCGATCGGGATTTGACAAATCCACAGTGGAATGCTATCACTGTCACAGGCTTGGCCATTTTCAATAGGAGTGCCCTAAAAAAGAGAAACAAGTAAACCTGGCCGAGACAAGTGAAGAGATGCTACTTATGGCATATGTGGATGATAACAAGACTAGCAGTGACTGTGTGTGGTTTCTAGATTCAGGGTGCAGCAATCATATGAGTGGCAAGAAGGAGCTTTTCTGTGATCTTAATGAAGGCTTCAAAGATTCTGTTAAACTAGGAAATGATGCCAGCCTGACAGTGCAGGGAAATGGCAGTGTTCGAATGGAGATAGATGGACTCATGCATGTGATTACTGAGGTATTCTATGTACCAGATTTGAAGAATAATCTACTGAGTATTGGACAACTACAAGAGAAAGGTCTTGCAGTTCTCATGCAACACGGAGCTTGCAAAATGTTTCATCCTGAGCGGGGCTTAATCATTGAAACTGCTATGTCACATAACAGGATGTTCATTCTCATTGTACGATGTCAGATAAGGGAGCAAAAATGTCTCGTATCTATCGTCTCGGAACAGTCCCAACTTTGGCACTGTCGATATGGTCATCTAAGCTGGAGTGGTCTCAAAGTTCTTCAACAGAAGAAGATGGTGGAGGGTATGCCACAGCTCAAAGTTACTTCGAAGGTTTGTGAAGATTGCTTGGTGGGGAAACAACGAAGGGATTCTTTTCCTAAGGAAAGCACATGGAGGGCGTCAGGTATTCTTCAATTAATTCATGCTGATATCTGTGGGCTAATCAATCCAATATCACATAGGAGGAAACGGTATCTCATCACCTTCATAGATGATTTTAGTCGTAAAACTTGGGTGTATTTTTTGGTAGAAAAGTCTGAAGCTTTTGTTGTTTTTAAGAACTATAAAGCTAGGGTTGAAAAAGAAACAGGAGTATACATCAGGGCTCTTCGCACTGACAGAGGAGGAGAATTCACATCACAAGAGTTCACTAACTTTTGTGAAGTGAATGGCATACGACGACAACTCACAGCTGCATACTCACCCCAGCAAAACGGAGTTGCCGAGAGGAAGAATCGGACAATTATGAACATGGTCCGAAGTATGCTTTCTGGAAAGAACATCCCAAAAACATTTTGGCCTGAAGCTGTAAATTGGACTGTGCATATTCTTAATCGGAGTCCCACACTTGCAGTAAGAAGCAAGACTCCAGAAGAGGAAGCAAGACTCCAGAAGAGGCATGAAGTGGAAAGAAACCATCAGTGAGTCACTTTAGAATCTTTGGATGTATTTCTCACGTCCATGTACCAGATAACAGAAGAATAAAGCTTGACAACAAGAGCTTGAAATGCATATTCCTTGGGGTGAGTGATGAGTCAAAAGCCTATAGATTGTATGATCCGATTTCTCAAAGATTAATTGTGAGCCGAGATGTTGTTTTTGACGAGGATCAAAGTTGGGAGTGGGAGGCCTGTTACACAGGAGATATTGCAGCAAACCTTGAGTGGGAATCAGACGAGGAAGAGGGTACAGAAAATGGCGATAATGCAGAGGGATCAGAAGCTAGTAGCACTGAGGAGGGTGAAAGCAGTGAAGAGACTATGGAGAACTCACCTCATGGGGCACGGATACGAAGACCACCAGTATGGATGCGAGACTATGTAAGTGGGGAAGGTTGTTCCGAGGAGGAAGACTCCAACGTTGCATGCATGGCTGTGGCTTCAGAAGGTTCCAATATTGCAGGCATGGTTGAGTTCCCTGATAGTGACCCCATCTTCTATGAAGATGCAGTTAAGAATGAAAAATGGAGGCAAGCCATGAACTTAGAGATCGAGGCTATCGAAAAGAATGAAACATGGGAACTTACTACGTTACCCCCTGGAGGCAAAGTTATCGGTGTTAAATGGGTTTACAAGACAAAACTCAATGAGAATGGGGAAGTAGATAAGTATAAGGCGCGACTCATTGCAAAAGGGTACAGTCAAGAGTATGGGGTAGATTATGCTGAGGTATTTGCACCGGTGGCTAGACTCGACACCATTCGAGTCGTGATTTCACTTGCTGCTCAAAAGGGATGGATGCTCTATCAACTAGACGTCAAGTCTGCGTTTCTGCATGGAGAGATAAATGAAGAAGTCTTCGTTGCTCAGCCTCTTGGATATGAGAGAATAGGACATGAACACAAAGTATACAAGCTTAAGAAAGCCTTGTATGGTCTCAAGCAAGCTCCTCGAGCTTGGTACAGCCGGATAGAGACTTACTTTGTCAATGAAGGTTTCAAGAAGTGTCCATATGAACACACTTTGTTCATCAAAGCAGCGGATGGAGGTAAAGTTTTGATTGTTTGTCTGTATGTAGATGATTTAATCTTTACTGGAAACAATGAAGTTATGTTTGAAGAATTTAAACGATCCATGATGATAGAATTTGATATGACTGATCTTGGAAAAATGAAGTTTTTCTTGGGTATTGAGGTGTTGCAACGGTCGGATGGGGTATTCATTGGCCAACGTAAATATGCACATGAGGTGCTCAACAGGTTCAACATGGATCAATGCAATCCAGTGGATAATCCAGCAGTTCCAGGGTTTAAGTTAAGGAAGGATGAAGGAGGAGTAAGGGTGGACAGCACCTTCTACAAACAAATTGTAGGAAGCCTCATGTATTTAACGGCTACACGGCCTGACATGGCATTTATAGTAAGCTTGATCAGCAGGTACATGGAGCGCCCTACTGAAATGCATTTACAGGCGGCAAAAAGAGCGTTGAGGTATGTGAAGGGAACCATTGGCCTTGGGGTGTTTTACAGAAAGGGAGGAAATCAGGAGCTTCTGGGATACTCAGACAGTGATTATGCAGGGGATCAAGACGACAGAAAGAGTACTTCAGGTTATGTATTCCTAATGAGTTCAGGAGCTGTGTCTTGGTCTTCGAAGAAACAACCAGTGGTCACTCTTTCTACCACTGAGGCCGAGTTTATTGCAGCTGCATCTAGTGCTTGTCAAGCTGTCTGGTTAAGGAGAATCTTAAAGGAATTGTGTCATAATCAGTGCAAGGTTACGGTGCTACTATGTGACAACGTATCAGCTATCAAACTTTCAAAAAATCCAGTTCTGCATGGTCGAAGCAAACACATTGATGTCCGCTTTCACTTCCTGCGTGATCTTACAAAGGAAGAAGTTGTAGATTTGGTTCAATGCTCAACCCAGGAGCAAATTGCAGATATTTTCACAAAACCGTTGAAGCTTGAAGATTTCTTGAAGCTGCGAGGCTTGTTGGGCATCTGTGCTTATCCAGGAATAAACTAAATAGTGATAACATTCAGTTTAAGGGAGGATGTTAAACTTGTTAGGAGTCTCTTAACCACTAGGGTTAAGCTTCCTAGTTTCTAGGTCCACTTTGTAGTCGTTAATAATTCCTATTATTAAGGAACCAGTATTGTTTCACGTTCAGTCTTTAACCCTAGTCAGATACCACGATTCTAGGTGCTATAAAATCGTGGTTTGTTATTTTCATTCAGTTATCTTGTAAGGCTATAAGTAGTCTATGTTATCTTTGAATTCAATAAGATAATTCTCCCAGAAACCAAGTGTGTATTGAACTTCCTTCTCTTTTAGTCTCTCGAAGATCTTTCTGTTTTTTAACACCGATTTCAGAAACATCTCTTCTGGGTTTCACTTTCTTGGGGCTGAAACGGTATTTTTGGAGATAAGGGTCGTCGAACACGCCTTCCTCGAAGACGACGCAGTCGCCGATTACATGGTCTTCGTCGAAATGGTCGGGTTGGACGGAGTAGGACGAGATGAAAGAGGAGAGAGGGGCGTGGAGCTTTCGCAGGAACTGTATGGTGGCAGCGAGAGCCTGCGAGGTGTCGGGGGGTTTAGAGAGACTAGCATGGTCGTTGCACTTGCGATGCGTGTTGTGGAACATAACGTTTTGCAAAACCGGTGGGATATATGCTGTCAAATATAAAATAAATAAGACAATATTACGAGGTTTAGTAACTGGGATTAGGGGTAACAACAATACTTTCTCTCATTATGTGAAATAATGTTCCAGTAATTGGGTTTAATGCTCGCATTTTCAATTTGATAAAAGTAGTATTCCAGTATGAATAAACTGCTTTTTAACTGTAATTTCTTTACTCGAAGAACATAGATAAAAATTATGGTTATTCTCAAAACAAGAGCAATGGCGGAGATTTTTGTCTTGCAGATTGCGCAACCACGCATTTAATCGAAAGTATTTCTCGAACTTGGTACTTGCAAAAGTAAAAGTAACAATAATATCAAGGCAATCAGATGTAATTGAAGGCTCAGGAAAAACCCAGATTATGTTACCAAATGGAACAATATTGTTCATACAGAATGCGTTGTACGCTACTCAATCCACTCGAAATTTGTTGAGTTTTAAAGACATACTTCTAAATGGATACCACATTGAAACGAAAAGTGCAGAAAATGTGCAATATTTATGCATTACCTCTAATGATATCCAGAAGCGTATATTTAAGAAGTTGCATGATTTATCGAGTGAATTGTATTATACATACATAAAGACAATTGAGGTACATGCTTTCATGAACTAGAAGTTCATAAATTCAAAAGTTTACATACTTTGGCATGACCGTCTGGGTCATCCGGGATCTACCATGATGCGTAGGATCATTACCAACTCTAATGGACATCCATTATTGAGCAAAGACATCACTACCTCAAATGATATCCCTTACAAGGCTTGTCCTCAAGGGAAGTTAGTAACTAGACCATCACAACTAAAGGTTGATGCTGAATCCCATCATTTTTGCAAAGAATTCAAGGGGATATCTGTAGGCCTATTCAACCACATTGTGGACCATTTCGATATTTTATGGTTCTAGTTGATGCATCTAATCGATGGTTACATGTTTGCCTATTGTCTACTCGAAATGTAGTTTTTGCGAGACTTCTTGCTCAAATAATTAAGTTGCGAGCACAGTTCTCAGATCATCCTATCAAGTCAATCCGACTTGATAACGCTGGTGAATTTACATCTCAAACCTTTGATGATTACTGGATGGCACTGGGCAT